AATCCATTAAATCAATAAAATCTATTTTTTCTTGAAAAATAATCAATTAAATCAATAATATCAATTTTGATTTAAAAATAATCCATTAATGAGTAAAAATCGATTTGTGCTTTAGGAATAATCGATTAAATACTAAAAATCGATTTGGTCTTTATGAATAATCTATTTATTCTTGATTAATGGGTACTGACTTCAAAAATCTCGTCTGAACGAAATTTTAATCGATTCTTAGGAAGAAAATAATCGATTTTCGGTCACTGTTCATCGTCTTCTACCTTCGGTCCATTTTCGGAAATATCAATTTTAGTTACTAAACTTCAATTAAACTATATAGAAATGTTCTCCAAGGTTCATAGATCATTTTAGAATCATTAAAACATATTTTTAACATCAAATTCAAGGTTTATGATTGTTGGTTCTTCAAACATGTCAAACACAAAACTCAACCAAATGACCATTTATGAACGTAAAAACAACATATATGAACATTCTAATCTTTAGATATATCTACGAGCTTACCTCGAAAGTAAATGAAGGTTTTGGAAATTTTCCAGCGAAACTTCCGGCGTTGATTACTCCCAACTCCGGCGGCTTCGGCGGCAACCAACTACTACAGAATGTTCTCCTCACTCTCAAGGTTCTAATGGCATTATTTTCATAAAGAATGGTGAAGAAATGGGTTGAGGAGTAGTGTCCTTATATAGGCAGATAGATAGGAAGAAGCCATTGGAGTTTTCTATAGTTTATGCGTCATTTGAACGGCTGAGCAGGAGGGACGGAGAATTCCTACGGATTTTAAACATAAGTCCCTAATTGGGACTAATTTCGGTCCTAGTTGGGGTACACTTTTTGGTTCAACTTTCTCCGAATTGAAATCTGTTTACACCACGAAGACCAACTGCCCCAACGCATCTTGATCAAGACAACATGTTCTTGTCTGACCTGAATTATTCTGATTTGATTGAAATAAATTAGAATCTGATCTAAATATACTTATATTTAATCTTGTTTCTGATCTGATCTGAACTGAATTAATTCTGATTAAAAATGTGATGAGTAATAATAATAAGTTAAAGAAAATATCGCCTGAGTATGCACTAGGAAATAGGGTAAAACGAATTATTTATGTGAGTTGTAACGATTCGAATAATGACAACTGTTCGGACCATAGTTTTCCGAACCGAACCGGTGATCGAACCAGTCAAGGCACTGGTTCACTGGTCGAACCAGTGGTTCGAGTGGTTGAACCAGTGCTTCAAACATCTTTAATACATACATACATACATACATACATACATATATATATATATATATATATATATATATATATATATATATATATATATATATATATATATATATATATATATATATATAGAAAACGTTTTGGCATTGAATTAAAAAACTAATATATGAGTAAACAAAAAATATTTCCTCTATTTATAAATAAATTATTGATGTTTGACTAAATTTATAATTTACTTGAGTTGTGTCATCACATATTTTAAAATGCTTATAAATAAAAAGTGATTTCATTTTTCTGAAACATTTTACCTAGTATTTAAAATATATATAAACAAAATATTTGTGTGATATGCACTTCATCTCAATTATATCAATGTGTTTTGAATTTTAGTTAAAAAACTCTCTATATTTTTAAAAGTATTTGATAAAGAATTTTGTAGTTAAAGAATATTAAAGAAGAATAGCAAGGAACCAACACCAAGCATTGTAGCAGAGATGGTTTGATGCTTGCTCTATGAGGCCATGAGTTCGTGGGTTCAAATCCTGTCATGTGCGTTTTTATAAAAGTTTGCAAAAAATTAAAAAAATCCGGTTCCGGCCAAAAACCGGCCGGTTTTAACCGGTTTCTACTGGTTCAATGCCGAAGCCGGTCTAATTGCCCGGACCGGACCTTTTTGATGAGCGGTTCACCGGTTTCGGTCTGAACCGGCCGGTCTGGTCAGGTTTTTAAAACTATGGTTCGGACCATGCGTAACATAATTTCAATCTTACATTTGTATGATATTATTTATTCTGAGTCAAGTCCTCGCAGATTTATTTTTGGACACTTCCTAAAAAACGTCATATAAAGTACTCAAATTCGTATTTTCACAAAATGATTTTAGTTCATGTTGGCCTTGTTTGGAAAGAGTGTTTTCAATTAGCTTTAACATTTTGGATAAAATATTAACGGTGTAGATTAATTCGAAAAATGCTAACGCTAAAATCTACCGTCAGATAGCCTTTTCAAAATTCTAACGCTAATCTCTAATGCTGATGCAAAACGGAGCCGTTATTTTTTCTTCCATAGAATTAGAACGTTAAAAACTAAAAGTTTTGATTGTATTTCTATAGGGCATGTTTGGAAATAGCGTTAGAGATTAGCGTTAGCGTTTTGAAAATGCTATCTACAGGTAGTGTTTAGTGTTAGCATTTTCAAAGCAATTTGTACCGTTAAAACTTTATCCAAAACGCTGACGCTAATCTCTAACGTTATTCCCAAACAGGCCCATAGTTGGAGATGTGAGTCATCTAATCTCAATTAACTAACGTTAGTTGATTAGTTATGTTACAATGTGTATGTCCGATTTTGGGCATTTTTGGGTGATGAGCTATAGCTCTTGAACAGTATCCATGGAACATATGCCCTTGGGAACCATATAACTTTGATGAACATATAGCTTTGGCAACCTTGTGGCTTGCTCTACTAGTGACGGTATGGCCCTAAATGTGGCATTCATATGGCCAAGCTACCCTATATATGGACGTAGCCACCCACAATTCGGCCTACAAGATTACTGCTTGGTGTCCCTGTCTCAAAGCATTTCATGACCCACTTTCTAAAACGGTAGAACTCCCACTTCAGGTGCCCTACACTCCGGTTTGACAGAATAGTAAAGGAGATAAATTATGGTATAATCTTATTCTGGTTCTTCCGTCTCGTACCCTGATGGGCGATATCCAGCGGGCGGCCCAAATCAATCATTTAGTAGATTCTGGGTCAGGCGCACAGAAAATACTTGAACATGGGCCGGCCCAAAATGTGAGGCCCGGTCTGCTTCAACCCAAGACAGCTGGCAGAGCCAGTCCAGGGGAGAAGACTCTGCTAGAGAACGAAGATGAAGCCGGGAAAAGAGGATCGCGCCATCGACGGGATAGACTCCCTTTGATTATGTATTACCTTAACTGTCTAGAATCCATGTATAAATAGATGAGACCCGAGAGGGAAAAGACTCAAGCTAAATCAAGCTAATAATACACACCTAATTCTCGAGTTCTTATTCTTATTTCATTCTTACGATCCATTCTTCTGAATCGGATCATTTGGTGGATTTATTGTCCATCAAATTGGTGCTTTCATTGAGAGCTCGAGGATCATACTCAGGAAAAACTTTCCCAGAAAACAAGGGTGCAGACACGCAACAATGCGAATCTAGGTACCGGAGCCCCCATTAGGGCGAAAACAGCACTACCGGAGGCCGGCACCCTCCTATCAGCACGACGGAGGCGGAGGCCCTCATCCAGATGGTCGGGATCACGGCTGAGCAATTCAAGGAGGTGCTGGCGGCTCTGATGCCCAATCGTGAGATTGTAGTGGAAGACGCGACCGGAGGACCCGCAGACGGGGAGGCTGGACCTGCGGGCTCGGGTGGAAGAAGAAGAAGGTAAGGAGGTCCTAGAAGAAGAAGGCGACCAAGCCCAATGGGAAAGCAAGGATGGAGGATGAGTTAGCCAGACTGGACGAGGAAGATGAGTCGTCCTCCATCGAGCGGGCGTCAGCCTTTGACCGGTTGGGAGACCTCAAATCAGAAAAGCCTCGAACCTCCGCGTTCGATCGGTTGCAGAATACTCGGTCGGTTCGCAAGGGAGACCTGAGGGAGACGCTCAAGGAGAGGAGAGGAGAATCCTCTGCAACTTCCAAGATTGGCTCGGAAGAGTGACGAAAGGCGACCGAGGATAAGGAAACGGTCGAGTTGTGGAAGATGTACGAGCACCTGGAGAAGCGGCTGGATGCCCAAAACCCGTACCGACAGGCGGTCTTCAGTGAGGTAACGCCCTTCTCCAGGAGAATAATGTCCTACCCTCTCCCGGAAAATTTTAAAACCCCACATGTCAAAGCTTACAACGGGACAACCGATCCCCAGGATCATCTTGCTCGCTTCAGGGCAAACGTAGTTATGTATGCGTACCCCAAAGAAATTAAGTGCTGATGCTTCTTGGCGACATTGGAGGGGCAAGCTTGTGAGTAGTTCCATAAGTTGCCCAAAGGGTCGATCGACAGATGGAACGACCTGGCCCACAAATTCCTGGAACACTTCGCGTCTAGCCAGAGACAAAAGCTCCCGTTCTCACACCTGCTCAACGTAAAAATCTAGAAGGGGGAGCAGCTCCAGGAGTTTATCAACATGTGGGAGAAGGAGGCAAGGGACGTCCAAGGGGCGGACGACCAGGCCTTGATCGCTATGCTCCAGGCTGCACTCCCTCAGGGGGATGTGCGCAAGGAGCTGCGACGGAATCCGCTCTCAACCTACTAGGAAATGTTGGCCAGGGCGAAATACCTGGCGTTGGAAGAAGAAGATGACGAGCCACCAGCCCGGAAGGAGAAGAAGAGCGGACAGCCGGTGGCAGAAGGAAGAAAGAGGAAAGATTTTGGTAGGGGGCCAAACCCTACCAGATATCAGGCGAGCAAACAGCCTATCCATGCGGTACAGCCCTTACTGGCCCCTCCTCGGAGTCGGGAAAGCTATGGCGTCCAAGACGCACCAAAGTACTACGAGTACCACCTTAACAGCACCCACAACACGTCGGAGTGCGTTATGTTGAAGAAGGAAATGGACCAGCTGATCGCTAGAGAGCCACCTCCTCGGCCGGAGCGACCGGCGTCAGTTAACCGGACCTAGAGGAGACCGGCGGCCCCCGCCGCAGCGATCACAGCAGGGGATGGGCTGGAGGACAAACGACGACATCTAGGAAGAGACTGCGACAACCTGGATGAGGAAGAAAGGGAGAACCGCCGACACTTGGGGTGTCGGTTCATTATGGGAGGCAATACCGAAGGGGACTCGGCGTCCTCACGGAAGAAGTGGAAGAACATGGTGCATCTAGCCAAGGTGCAGAGGCCACCGCTACCCAAGCGGAAGAAGAAGGAACCCCTGATCTTCACAGATGAGGATTATCCACCAGTTCTTAGCCCCCATTGGGATGCATTGGTAATAAATGTGGAGATCAATAATGTGGTCGTCAACCGCACGTTGGTCGATACTGGCAGTTCGGTCAACATCCTGTACAGCAACACCTTTAAGGAGCTGGGGTTGTCCCGGGGCGACTTGAAGCCAATCCGTACCCCGCTGTCAGGATTCACGGGGGACACTATTGAAGCAGAGGGGACCTTCACGGTGAAGGCTGGGGTAGGAGATGGCACCCACCGATTCTGGCTCGACATGGAATTCATGGTAGTGCAGCTTGACTGTGCACACCAATTGATCCTAGGGCGACCGGGTCTGGAGGACTTGGAGTGCGTGATCTCCCCCGTCCACCTGTGCATGAAATTCAACACCCCCACCGGGGTAGGAGTAGCTAAGGGGAATCAGAGTTTGTCCCGATCATGCTACGTCAAAGTGACCAAGAGCTAAGCGAGGATTGATGAGAACGTGAGCACGATCTGTGCTGCAATTCAAAGGGAGGAAGGGCGACCCCGAGCTGAACCAGAGGAAGAGGTTGAAGAAGTCACCTTTGACCCAGCCAAGCCAAAGCAGAAGGTGAAGATAAGGAAGACCTTGCCACTTAGGTTGAAGGATCAGCTGATGGGCGTCCTTCATTCGTTCAAAGTAGTGTTTGCTTGGGGTCCAGAGAACATGCCCGGGGTCGATCCAAAAATAATTTGCCATAGGTTGGCAGTGGATCCAACCCATAAGCCGATCAAACAGAAGAAACGTTTCCTTTCCTCAAAAAGGAGAGAGTTTGTCACCAAGCATGTGACAACCCTGCAGTCCATCGGGCACATCCGAGAAGTCTGTTACCCGGAATGGTTGGGAAATGTAGTCCTCGCATCCAAAGGGAACACCTGGCGGATGTGCATCGATTACTTATATGCACATATTTTATACACTTTTTAGGCATATTTTGAAGGAGTTTTGAGTCCCAATTGAATTAATTTTTACAATTTATGTCAATTTTCCGTTTTATTTTAGTAGAGCGGTCCTATGCTTGGTTTTATATGTTTTGCAGGTATTTTGAGGTCATTTGGACGCATTGAGAATAATTTCAAGAACGGAAGATAAACATGGAAGTTTGGGACCAAAATAAATGGAAGATATTTTAAGAAAAGAAAGAAATAAATCTAAAAATGAAAAGATTGGAGCTGTGATTCGAACACTGGACTTCGGGATATGGATGAGCAGCTTGGACCATCGCACCACAGCTGATTATTCGGCATGTCACTGGCGGACATGGAATATGTTCCTAGTTTAAATTCGGCCATGAATTGAGAGAAAAATGACAAAACACCGACACTGGATGGGGAAATCAAACACGGGATCAAGTGGCGAGACAAACAACCTCAATTTCATGTGGGTGATATGCACATATTTTATACACTTTTTAAGCATATTTTGAAGGAGTTTTGAGTCCCAATTGAATTTAATGTTTATATTTTATTTCAATTTTCCGTTTTATTTGTGTAGAGCGGTCCTATGCTTGGTTTTATATGTTTTGCAGGTATTTTGAGGCCATTTGGACGCATTGAGAACAATTTCAAGAACGGAAAATAAACATGAAAGTTTGGGACCAAAATAAATTGAAGAGAATTGAAGAAAAGAAGAAAACAAATAAAGAATAAGGAAAAAAGGAGCAAGGATTCGAACTCAAGACTTGAGGGCAGGGATTTGAAACTCTGACCATTGCACCACAACTGACCGTTCAGCATTTCAATGACAGAGCGCGAATAATATCTGTTTAATATTCGGCTCATGAATTGGGAGAAAATGACAAAATAGGAGACGGTGGGAAGATTCGAACCCAGCATCACGCTGCCAACATCC